CTAGAACAGGGCCTAACGTCTACAGGCCCAGTGTGGTTCCTACACAAGGAACTAAACATTAGACTAAGAACAGACGATGGTGCCAAAAGTGCATCAGTGTGAGTCTGTTGGCACCACAGCCCTGGCCCCTGTCACGGGCGCGGCCACGGGCTTCTGAAAAAAGAACCTGATAACTTAAGTGTAAGAGCACATAGACTAGTACACACACATGGACACAGTGAACCTACTGGACCACTGACCATTACTCACATAAGACACATGGGAACAGAAAAGAAAGTTCTACCTTTTAGTGTTTAAAGAAAGTGTTGTTGAGTATCTTTGTGGTATTGGCGTCATTTTCAGAATCAGTATCTCTCAAGTCTTTTCCTTGAACTAATTATTTGGTGAGAATTCTAATGATCTATCTGCACCACAGCAGAAAGGAGACGGCATGGAGTGGATTAGCAGGAGTTTGGGGAGTAATTGGACTGGTTTCATTTTATTTTTAAATTAGTCTATGAAGTCTAGCCTACATAGACCTTTTTGTACAAGATCCTGTTCATTTTGAGAGCTTTTGTCAGTGTCTCTATATGCTCTCTTATAGTTCTTTAGTGGACTTCAGCCCTAGACTACGTAAACAGCATTTCACAGCATGTTTGACTCTGTCTATACTTAGCTTGAGTTGAGTTAGTCAACTAATCACTTTGTTTTTATTTTATTTGCATTAGTTTATTTGAGGATTTCTATGGGACAGCAGCAGAAAGGAGTGAGTATTTGGTATTTCTTTGGTATTTCTTTGGTATTTATGTGAAAAATCCCTCAGTCGTCCAGGTAGAACCTAGCCTGATTCATGAGCCGGTTTCACTTCATAGAAACTGTCTGACCTCAGAGTGTTAGGATTCATTCACTCGACGGTAGGCAGGTACTTTTTATTATTTAACCAATCACTGCTATTTGGTCGTGCCGTATGTAATGTGCCGCTAACAGGGTTAACTGGTATATTAAGCTTTTCCCAAAAGCAGGAAGAGGAACAATAACGTCTTTCCCCTTGATAAAATTCACCAAACATTATTTTTGTTCTGCCTTTAAATCCTCAGCTTTAAATCGTAAATGTCTGTCTCTTTGCTGATTGGCTGGTGCCCGTCTAGTGTATTCTGATTCCTGACCTCGTCACTGGAGAGAAATGAAATTGAATGGAGGCACTAGGTGGCTCCAGCCTGGCTTAGGCAGAATCCACGGCAAAGGAGAAATTCAATTTGTCGACTAGACAAAAGTTTATCTGGTCGATTACTTTTCGCAGCTCTTCCAAGCTCCTTCTTCACTTCTGACTGCGACGAACCAAAGAAGCAGCTTGGATGAGCTGCCAAATGTAATCGACCAGATAAACTCTTGTTTAGTCAACAAACAGAACATTCAGGGTTTATGACTTGAAACTGTTCTGAGTTAATTTAACATTTTTGAAAATGTTCATTAAGTAACACTGGACCAAAGTTCCTGTTTAACCCCAAAATCAAGAGTTATATTCATGTTTTGAGAGTAAACAGATAACACTTTGTAGAGTTATCCTGATTTAGCTAAACAACACACAGAGGTGTTTTATTTTGACACTTTATTTTAGTTAATTTAAGATGAAATTTTGTTCAAAACTGGTTCAAACTGGTCTTCTCTCGCGGGAGTTTGAAGTGGTGGGTGTAAGGAGCCAAATTAACACTAAAGGAAGTAAAATAAACACTAGTGGAAGTTGATTTAACTTCGACCAAATCAACTCTGGCAAATAACCCCAACTCCAACCTCCATTTAACTTTCACATAGTTAAAATAACACTTTTTGTGTTAAGAACAACTCTGAAATATTTTACCCTGAAATTGTATCTCTGAAGTTTTTGCGGTGTACAAAAGTTGAATTTGTCTTTATAAATACATTGTTTCCTAGTGCTGTTTGCTGCAGAAATAGTGTTTCTTGCATGTAATGAGGATTGTATAATATGAGAAAACTGGAGTGCTGGTTTGCAATCACTACAGGGTGTCGGGTCAGGACAGCGATTATAGACGTTCTGGTGAGTTAAAATGAGGGAGTCCACATCCAGGTAATGTTGAACGTTTCTTTAATGTCTGCGTGCTGAAACACGTGTGTGTGTGTGGTTCTCTACAGGAGAAAGAACAAACAAATACAAACAATATATCAGTAATAAATCAAAATGGTGGTTGATTGTGATTATTTACACAATACTGCAAACTACAAAGTGGCCGATAGGGGCCAATATGTTTGGTGCAGTTTAGATATAAACAGATCCAAATCAAATTACACATTGCAGTAGCTCCCTGCAGGTGTTGGGGTCAGACACACATTATGGAAAAGTTTTGAGCAGTTGATGAGCAGGACAAGCCTTTGGTCGACCAAGAATTTACCTCAGCCCTTCAAAGCAATAGCATCTCCAAAGGCCGAGGAGATCTGAAGATTCTGTGCTAGACTGGACATAAACACGAGACATGACACCAAAAATGGAGTCAGTACATTGGGC